CCACTGGATCCACAAGACTTCCCACCCACTGGCCTGTGATCCTCCTGCAGTCAGCATCATTGCATGTATTTCGTGAGTCTAAAGAGGACTTTAATAGGTTGGTATCAGACATATGAGCTAATATTAGACTTGTGGACTTGATCTGGACTAGGCTGGAATGTTTTCTCAATAGTTAATTGATCTTGTATTTAAACCTCTTTCTTATATACATGTGAGTATCTATGAATTTGTTTCTCCAGTCTACCCAGACTAACACAGGCCCACGCATTGCCACACCACCCCCAGGGCTAAAACGCCTTTTCCTCTGGGGAGAAACTGCTGCTTGGCTAATGGATAGGGCCAAGGGAGAAGACAGATACACTGGAAGACCAGGAGAGAGCAGAGAGAGAGGCCGTCTTTGGGCAGTGGGGCATGTCAAAGAGTCCCACCTGGTCCTGACACTGTCCTCAGGCTCAAAGGGCATGACCACAGGGGTCCAAAGGGACGAGTCCTGGCCACCCAGCTTCTCCAAAGATTCCCATGTGCTGGGGCAGTTCAAACACAACCCAGTCACAGGGGGCGGGGGAGTACCTGGGGAGAGTGTGGCCTGGACCTATGGGCATCTCCATGGTGGTATTGGGGGGTGGGGGGTAACCAGACAATAGCTCCACACACTAGGCCCCAGGGCAGGGTGGGGGGATGTCCCACAGAAGACTGACATGGTTCCGTCTTCATAGTTTGCAGAAGAAGGATTCAGAATCCCAACTGGGAGGTTTACAGGGGAAAAAAATATCGTTGTGTGATACTGGTGGGGTTTGTACAAACAGAACATCTGGCACCCAGATGCAAAATGGATGTTAAATGCGATTGTTCCCACGACCATTGACGCCTAGGGAGTTGTGGCTACAACCACACAGCACCCAGAGTGGCCACTTCTCTCGCTGGAATCAGTGGATCACCTAGACCACCCTGGGGAGTGATGGGCCTCTGGTGAATTACCCCAGCTTCTGATAGTCTCGGCCCTGCACCCCACGCTGCTCCCGCCTCCATTGAGGAGAATAGCCGGGTTGTGTTTCTAATTATGAGCAGGAAATTACTTCTTTGGCCTTGTTCTTGGAAGGCGCCTCTTTTATGCTCAATTTGCATGCCAATGAGAGGCAATTCTTCAAGAAAATAACGAGAAGGGACTGAAACCGAGGAGCAGGGAACAGGAGACCTCCGAGCTGCTGTTTCTCCTCCAGCCAGCTGTGGCCCGGACCCAAGGGCTCTCACGTCTCGTGGGAGATCCCAGAACCCGGAGGATGAGCTGGGCTTTCGGTCTTATTCTCTGGGACTTGCTCCATGTAGACCCTCAGAAAAGATGGGTCCATCTGTTGCCTGGCCATCCTGAGCCAGCTTTGAGGTGTACTTTGGCCCATACATTAAGACCTCTGTCCTTCCTTATCCCCAGCAAACGGCCTGTAGCATGGCACAGTCATGGGGTCAGAGGAGACCAAGGGGCCACCCACTACCTTTAGGAGAGAAGAGAGTCACAAGTGTTGTACAGGGTTTCATTCTGTGATCCCCTCTGCAGTGGACACTGTGTCCTAACTGGTCCTCATTTCCCCATGGAAATGATTGCACGCACACATCCAGAGGCTCCACGTGGCCCTTTGGACACCATATAGCCTAAGCCACTCAGAAACAGAAGGGGACCCAGGCATAGGAACTCCTGCCACTGGGCACGGTCTTACGTGCCGGTGACTGTCCTCAGCTTAAAGCTAAAGCAAACAGCAAGAAGTCGCTTGGGCGCTTCCAGTGAAAAGCCTTTTACAAAGCATGAGTCACCCTGTTTCCCTTCTCTGACTGGGGCGTCGACACCCGAATGTTTTCAGTTTTTGCTCCTGGAAGCTCCTGTGTGCTTCCTCCTTGAAAGCCTTCATTGCACTCTGAGAAGGGGAACTTCAGCAGTTCTGAGGGTGGAAGGGGGATTTCTAACCAGATTCAAGGCCCCTTTATTTATTGGATCCATAGCCTTTACTGGTGGCCTCCAGTGTGGCGGGCCTGCCCCTGTGTGGGGGACCGGGTGCCTGGTCTGCTGCCCTCCACCAGACACCATCAGTGCAAGGCGTGGTGTGGGAAGAGGCTCAGGGTGTCCCAGTGGAGCCACCACAGGCCAGATTCTGCTCCAGCAGGGACACCACGTGCCTTCTCTGAGGTTCATTCAGCCACCACCCGGGGAGGCAGGTGCTTAGGAACTGCTCTTTGGATTCTCTTGTGTTGGGAATTCCATGCATCCCTCTACCCCAAATCCGTGTTGGAACCCTAGGCCCTATCCCTGTGGATTTCCCCCTGGTTGTGAATCAAGTTGGAGCCTTGGTGACACAGGGGTGGAACGCTGCACGCCTAAAGGTCTCTGGTTCAAACCCACCCTAGGAGCGAGCTGTGGCAGTCTGCTCCCAGGAAGGCGCATAGCCTTGGAAACCCTGGGGGCCATTTCCACTGCCCTAGAGACCCCTGGGAATGGCAGTCCACTCAGGGCAGTGCATTTGGGTTTGGAGTGAAGAGGGGATGATGTGCTATGTTAATGAGGCCACCCCATCAGTATAGGGCAGATGCTAAACCGAAGGATCCCTTCAGGGCTGTGAAAAGCAGGCTTGTCCCAGAAGCAGACACAATCTGGGGAGACAGATGCCACAAAAGACCCTCTTCAAGCCAAGGACCACGAGGGCCACTGATGGAAAAGAAACCGAGACAGCCGAGTCCGGATCTGGGATTTTAGGGCCCCAAACTGTGAGAAAATGCATTTCTGGTCCTTAAAGACTCCCCCGGGGTTTCTGTGCCTGCAGCACTGGTGAGCTAGACGGCTGGCTTCCTCCCTTGCTGCTCACGCGGCTACCACGTGGCTACCACATGGCTGGGCTCCAGGTGAGCTCACCGCCACAGGTGGGACACTCCTGATAAAGCTCTTGCCAACTGTATCTTTCCTCCTTCTAAAGCCTCGCACACGCAGTCGGACGTCTCAGAGTTTGGCAGCAAATGGAAGCATGCCATCAATTACTCATTTGGTGTTTAGGCAGAAGAATGGGATTATCTTGGCCTAGCAGGCAGGCCTGGTCAATCACAAAGAGGTCTGTGATGGAAACCCCCACCTAATTCACAAAAGCGGGAAAACGCCTTTTTTTTAAGTAAATAAGTGAAGAAAGAAAGAAACAAAGTGAGCAGGTCAATGAACTACTGCTTTGAACATGTCCCACTGAGGGCCACGTCCCGTGTCTTAAGGTAAATCCCAAGCAGAGGGAGCAAAGCCGATGCAGATGCCGGCAGCCAGGGGGCGCTGCTCTTGGGCTGCGACACTCATCCAAACAGCATCCTACCTGGGCAGGTCTCTGCAGTCAGTGTGTCCAGGCTGCTCTCCTGGCGTCCTTTTTGTCGTCTGACCATTCCCAGATGGCCCAGGAGCTGATGAAGTCCTCTGAGCCAGGACAAAAGAGAAAGAGGAAAGGACATCAGCTAGGCCCTCAGCAAACACAAGCATATGTGTCCACAGGCCAGTGGCTAGAGCACTCCAGGGTCAGGCGGTACGTCATGGAATCATGCCCGGGGCAGGCACTAGCGGCGCTGAGGACATGGCTGTGAGCAAAGCAGGCATGGCCCCTGCTTTCGTTTAATGGAGCAGAAACCCAGTTTAACCACATGGGCTTGAACGTGGCTGGTTGAGCAAGAAACCAAGACCGGAGCACTTTCCATCACGTGTGGGGGAGGGCATTGAGTGGAGATATTGATGCTCAGACCTAAGGGTGTCAAGTCTGCTGGGGGCACCCCCTCTGAAGAAAGCACAGTGCCCCTTTGCTTCTGTACCCCATTGGCCACCCCAGATCCCTTTAAACCAGGGAAAACCACAACTGATGGACTACAGTGATGAGTCCTGAGGAACATGGACCTTGGACCTACTCCTGGACGTCCTGACCAGTTTTTCTGGAACTCCCTCCGTCAGTCTGTCTACTCAGCAGTTGAATTTTAAAACTAAACTGCAGGAACAGGTTCCGTTAAAACGCCAAAGCACAGACCAGGAAGAGATCAGAGATGTTTTAAAACCCCAACTTAAAGGATGCCCACTTAAATATAAGAGAAAACTTAGAAAGAGGAAAGGGGTTTCCATAATTCCTAAAATCTGTCTCTTTTTCTTCCTAGCAGTACCCCCACAAAGCCTCCTTCCACCAACGCACAAACCTTTAGAACGAAATCTGCCCCCTTTCAAAAGCAATACCTCCCAATCCCACTCTTCCCTTGCAAACTGGGTTGGCTTTGGCTCCGGACGGCCTTGTGTGTCACAGAGAGAGATGCTGCCAGCTCTGGTTCTGTGCGTTTGTCATGATCTCTGTCATGGCTCAGCCCACTCTTATGCTGTTCTCAGTCCACCTCACGGAAGGACTCCCTTGTGTTTGAGGACCCGCTGCTCACCAAACAGGATTTCTTTTTCCAGAGAGTGGTTTTGGCCGATGACATGTCCAAAGTAAGCAAGCTGACATGGCACCGCCTGTGAGGGGTAAGGTTTTGTGTCAACTTGGCTGCGCCTGGATCCCAAGTGGTGTGTGGCAGTTAAGACCCACTAACCCCATTTGATGTGACCTAACACAATATAATCCATTCTATACTACGATTTGCTACCAGCAACCAATCAGTGGTCAGAAAATTAGGGTGGAAATGCAACAACTTTACACCTATCACCATCTTGATGCAATTAATGAAAAGGCAGTTTCCTAGGGTGGGCGACCTGCTCCAAATACATGTGACCCAAAGCTTGCTTGGTTTTTGTTGGGTCTGGAACCTGCACCTGCTTCATTGAGCTCAAGTTCTCTGGACTTATGCCAAAGGCTTGCCATACTGTCTGGCAATCTTGGGAGTCAGCAGTAGCCGAGTGACCTGCCAACCTAGAGAATCCAGTCTAAGACCCCCCTCTTACTTCTAAAGGGCATTCTGATTGTATGCCATCTAAAACGGATTTGTTCATTCTCTAAAGTGTCCCAGATTCCTCCTGAGGAAAAGTCTCCTTCATGGTCATTCTAAATACCTCCAGGTACAGACAGGGTTTAAGATGTTTATGGCTATAATTCAGCAATCACAAAATAGAGTAGCCTTTTGCACCAGGGTCCTGAATTTCAAAACTCATAGCCCAATTCCTAATTGCCCAACTGCCACATAGATCTCTGTTCAAGTACCTTCTGCAGCCAGGTCTCCCTTCCCCTCACCCTGTGCTCCACAGTCACTTACTAAGCAAAAGATTTAGCAGCAAGAGCTCCTGTTCTGTATTCAAGGTTTCATTGAAGTAATTCTGGAAAGTGAGTGGGATGTCCAACAGCTCAGACACATGCAAACAACAGCTGGAGCAAGGAGACTGGGTTTTACTCTAACTGAAGAGAGAAGAAGAAGGAGGAGGAGGAGGAGGAGGAGAAGAAGAAAAGACACTGCTTGCTAAATTTCTTCAGGCCAAGGAAATATAACAAGGGCTCAGCTTCATTTTTGAAAAGAGCACGTTCCAATCCTCCTCTTAATAGAAAGCTAATCTGCAAGAACAATGCCTATTTAACTAAAAAATTTAAAAACGTGTCTAAAGGGAGTGAAAAGAAATAGCCCAGTCCATGTCTACAGCACCTTATGCATCTCAGAATGCCCTGACAGCCATCTGATTCCTTCAAAATTCCTGTGAGCCTATAGCTGACAGATAATATAATATTTTCCATTTTCCAGATGAGAAACAGGTTTAAGAGGTTTGCCCAAGTTTTCTGCCTTAACTGCAATATTCTTCCCACAATCATAACACTCAACAACTTCTATAATGCTGGCGGGCATAGTCAATATTCTTTTCCAATGCTACAATTCAAAGACATCAATTCTCCCATCTTCTTTATTCACTGTGCCGCCCCACGTGAACACAAGGCATCTCAAAATGCCATGACTTGGGTCAAGGGGACCAGAATCCTCCAAGTGACATCTTTGCTCTTTAACACTTTAAATAGGTCTTCTGCAGCCCATGCACCTGGTGCAATGTTGTCTGATTTCTTGACTGCTATTTCCATGACAGTTGATTGTGGACTCAAGTAAAATAAAATTTTAGGCAACTTCAATCTGTCTTCTCCTTCTCATAATGCTTCTGATTGGCCCAGTTCTAAGGATTTTTCTTTTCTTTATACTGAAACTGTACAATTTGATCCAAGGTTGTATCTGCTTCTGCTACATATTCTACACTGTTAATGAGTCTTCCTCAAATCCTGATGCCAAGTTCTTCTTCATAGAATGCAACTTGTTGAGTTATTTGCTCAGCATAAGATTGAGTAAGTGTGTTGAAGGGGCACAACCTTGGCACACGTCTTCCTGATTTAAACGATTCAGGGCCCCCTTGTTCGGTAGGAGGCACGGTCTGTTGGTCTATGTGCAGGTTCCTCGTGAGTGCAATTAGGTGTTATGGCATTCCCATTCTTCACAAGGTTATCCATTACTTGTTAGGATCCACACAGTTGAACGCATTGCCTAGTCAATAAAACACATCTTTCTGGTAGTTTCTGCTTTCAATCCAAGAGCCCTCTGACCTCAGCACCACATCCTTTTCGGCACCTGGCTTGACTTTATGACCATCCCATCAGTGCACTGCTGCAACCATATTAAAATGATCTTCAGCATCACTTTTCTTGTGTGTGCTACTGATGATGTTTGATAATTTCGCATTGTTAGATGACTTTCCTTTAGAGCAGGCACAAATGTGGACTCCTTTCAGTGGGTTGCTCAGGTGGCTCCCCACCAACTTTCTTGGCGTAGATCAGTGAAGACGTCCAGCACTCCATTAATTGGTTGAGGCATTCCAATTGCCATTCTATCAACTCCCAGAGCCATGTTTTCTGCCAATGCTTTCAGTACAGGTTGGATTTTTCCCTTCCGAATCATCATTTCTGGATCAGATATGACCTCCTAAACTGGTTGAATACCCACACTCACACACACCTGCACAGAAACACAGACTTAGATGGTTACCGGCGTGGGGAGGGGAAGGGAAGCAATAAGGTAGTGGGTGTTAGGTTGTGAGGTGCTGTGAAGCCGGTTCCAACTCATAGTGGCCCGTGCCCAACAAATGAAACACCGCCTGATCCTGTGCCACCCTCCCAGCTATTCCTCTGCCTGAGCCCACCGTTGGTCATCCAAACGGTGCCAATCCATCTTGTTGCGGGGGCCGACCTCTTTTTCGCTGCCCCTCCACTTTGCCAAGCGTGAGGTCTTTCTCCAGGAAAGACAACATGTCCAAAGTATGCAAGATGAAGTCTTGCCATCCTTGCCTCTAAGGAGCACTTGGACCATACGTCTTCCAAGACAGATCAATGTGTCCTTTCAGCAGCCCGCGGTACTTTCCACGTTCTTCTCCAGCACCGCAATTCAAATGCTTCCATTCTTCCTCAGTCTTCCTTATTTGATGTCCAATTTTCACGTGCAGATGACGCAATTGCAAAGACCATGGCTGAGTCTTCAGAGCGACACGGTGCATTTCAACCCTCTACAGAGGTCTGCGCAGCAGACTTGCTCACTGCAGTGCCTCTCTTGACCTGTGGACCGCTGCTGCCATGAGCACTGATTGCGGGTCCAAGTAGGATGACATTGTTAACAATCCTTGCCCGTAGGCTAGAACAGGGGTTGGGAACACTGCGGCTCACAAGCTATGCACAGCTCTTTCAGTGCATACATGGGGTTCTGAAGTAAACTGAAAAAATTTAAGGATATGATTTAAATAATGGTGTTTCATTTTTTCGTAAATATATGCTTCTGATTCTCACATAATGCTGTGAGGGGAAAAATTGTTGTGAGGCATAGAATTGGCTCTTCTGTCTCAAAGGTTTGCTGACTTGCAGGCTAGAGGATAGACAGGTGTTCACTTAGGTGAGGGGGTAGGTCAGATCATACAAGAGGGAGGTGGAAGAAAAGGAGACAGTGAGGAAACAGGACAAGCCATGGGAAGTTTGATAAATGGTTTAAGTTGTTGAATGCAAAAATGATGATCGGATATGTAAACCCTCAACCAAGTCACAGTAAAAAAATTTAATAAAACGACTGACTATCAACCATTTCTTTTTGGTACAGTGACTCTGTGTATTCCTTCCATTTTGTCTTTATGCTTCCTGCCTCATTCGACAATGGAATTCTTCAATAATGCAACTCAGAGCTTGAATTATTTCCTTTGGTGCTTTCAGCTTGAAAAATATCAAGCATGTTCTCCCCTTTAGGCTTTCTCACACCTCGTCTTTGCACACGTCATTATCATTCTTTACTTCATCCTAACAAGCAGCCCTTTGATGTCTCCCATTCGGCTCTTTTACGCCATCATTTCCTCCATTGCTTTAGTCACTCAAGAGCAAGTTTCAGTCTCTTCTGACACCACTTTGACCTCTTCTTTCTTTCTGACCCTTTCATGACCTTTAGCTTACTCCACGG